GGAATAATCTGAACAGTAAATTTACCAGAGGGGGCGGTTTGTGTCTTCCCATACCATCAATTTTCTATTTGTCAAAAAACAGATCACGCATTCATCAGCTAATACAAAGTCTGTATTCTAAAAGATAGCCTTTTTAGAGGCTTCTGAGCACACTTCCTGAATAAGATATTGTTTTATCTCCTGTAACACATTCACAGATTTCCTTGCATTCACAGAGCTGTAAAAGTCTAACTATTTCACTGCAACTTTGGTCAAAAGCAGGGAAACAAATTTTGGGTAAAATTCAATAAAATCATTATTTCTGAAATTCATAAAACATCTTTGTGCAAACGTTTTGTCCATTTTTCCTTAAGAAGAACAGAGCAGTGTGGATGTAAACTGTAATGTAATTCTTGCAGGATATTAATCACAGGGTGTCCCTGTAGGCGGATTACATTTCTGTTCGATGAACATGTGGAATTTGTACAGAAAAATGTGTTCTGTGTTCTGGAAAAGCTTTATGGCCTTGGTCATTATGAACCTGTAGATTAATAGTTCTTCCTGTTTAAGAACCATACTTTCCATTTCTTTGCAACAATACAAACAATTGAAAGTGAAATCACAGACATCTGTAAATGAGTGTTATAATCAGAATAAAAATTGTATGACAAAAATGAAGGTCTGCAGAATCTTTGTGAATGCAAAACCTGTTTTTGGCAGCTAATTTGAGTTTAATCAGAAGGAATGAAATTACATCTGAGCATATTCCTAGAAGCTTCCCTATTATTTACTTTCTTGTTTCATGTACTGTTTCGTTTGATGTCTTTTTTGTTGTTCGAATGCTGTTCAACATTTTTTGTTCTTAAGTAAATATTGCATTTGAATACCACCTAATATAAAAAAGCTTCTGGAAAAGAACAGTAGTTGATTGCCATTGCCTCAAAAGGGAATCATAGAAACAATTAAAAAAATTCAAACATCATCAAAAAGGTTTAAAAGTGTTTTGGTGTTGCACAAGCTTAGGATCTTTATTGTCTCCAATGAAAACCTCACTTTTATGAATCAATAATTTGCTTCCTCTGCATATTTTCTGGCAATCATTATGGATCATGAAGCTACTAACAACCACATAATACGAGATACAATGCCTTCCTGTCATTAGTAACACACTTTCTTACACTTGGTTGTTCTGTATGAGTTTACCGTATTTACTGCATGGTCTATTAGCTTGGAGATGCATTTTTAGCATCCAGCTTTGTACAGAAAACATTACCTGTCAGTGGCAAATTATTTTCAATGTAGAAATCCAGAAGACCACTTCACTTTTACCACATTTACAATAAACATTTCAACCGGGTAAAAAAGAAGTTAGGAGTAAAAATCCTTCAGGTAGCATGGGAGCTTCCGGGCTGGGCTGTAAACCACAGTTTAGAAATAGTCAGCTAGAAAGGGAAAGTCAGAGTTTTCATGGAAGACAAACATCAGCCACAAACACTCATGGCAGTTCAGTGTGAACCATGGTGTTACTAATCAAAGTGTTGCTAATAAAAGACAGAAAAGACTGAGGGGAACTCTCCCCACACACACACAAAACAACAGCTGGAGCCACCCTGCATCTAGAACAAAGATGAAAAGCAGATGCTATGTTATTCAAAGATGAAATGGAATCTGTGTTCAGAGATGTTAATCTATGGAAAATGTAATAAAAAGGGACAACGCCAAGTGACAGCTCATTGTGATATTTAGCCAATGAAGTCCAAATTCTGTGACTGTGCAGTTCACATCCTGAATGAGACATTTTTAGGAATAAAACATGGTAATGCAAGAATTCTGGGATAGCCCCCGGACATTTAAGTCGTGAAAGCAGCTGTGCTGACCAAGAATAAAAACATAGTGTCACACATACGGCCGACATTAGAGGTTGTGCAAGCCGGCTTACCAGCTTACCCTGTGAATAGCAGGGAACTCAGCCGCCAGGCTGATGGGAGATTTCCCTTTAGCTCAAATAGCTGGGTCCCTGTTGAGTGATGCCGGGGGCACGGGGTCGAGTCCCCAGCGATGGGGGGCCGGCCTGAGGCGGCATCGGCCAGGGCGCATACCCACGTGAACCCGAGAGCGCTACAATATGTTGAAATAAACCTTAAATCTGTGATCTCTTGTTCATGGTGTGAGCAAACACACTCACAGATTTGACTTCCAAATCATTCTAATTTAAGGCATATCCACCTGGACCACACAAATTGGTGTGAGACCAGCTATATTTAAAAATTATGGAAGGACTGTTGGCGATGACGAATGACAGCATTTCCGTATTCTGCAAAACATATTGACTTTCTCTAGACCTCAGGATCATGGACATTCAAAGCGTGAGATCAACGGACACAGCTACAAAATCTCTGTAATCACATGGAGAGCTGAGATCTGAGAGTGCAAAGTATCAGAAAGTCATCCCTCTGAGAGGAACAAGGAGACTGGAAACTGCTAGAAACCTGGGGCTAAACAAGTTGAGAGCTCTTAAGTGTCATTTAAGGATAGCCATTGGCTCTTATTGAATGATACCAGGACAGATAAAGCTTTGAGTTGGTGGGGAAATAAACAGCATGAATGAATTATGAAGTACCATCCAGAAATTTCATACCTAAAAGGTCATGCAATTTAAGACATGAACATTCACTATTGAATTTTTGCCTGCCTTCTCTTGACTTTACAAACTGTTAGACGAGCTGAAGCACATACTCCACGTTAGAGGCACACAAAGGGTGCTTGTTAATCGGTTACTCACATGTATTCCTGGATAAATCTTTTGCATCACCTTCCTATTTTAGATGCTGTCAAGGGAGCTATATATGCGGAGATGAAACATACAGTACACGTATTAAAACCATATAACTCCCAAAATATGTCTTCCGTAAGCTGGCAGGATATGAAGATAAGTGCCCGGTCAATGGTTTAAGTTCATTTTATTATTTTGTCAGATCTTCCTGTGCAGCGGATTTCACAAGGGCAATGCCATCAAACAGCATTTATGATCTCCTCATCAAAGTGCAGGCATCTCGCACTTTATCTTCAGATGCATCCCCAATCTATCTGACCTGTAATAATGCAGGCTGTGCAATAACACTGTTTGAATGAGGGCGATTCAATTATTCTGTTTACCTCTTTAGACATAAAGACTAGCTCAAGTCCTTGATCAATGACCTATATCAATGTGCTTTTAAAAACACGAAAGAAATCAAGAAAAATCTGTCGCTGTGCACATTACGTGACGGCCAAAAATTCCCCAAACTCAATGTGCTTTCTAGTTTTATTCTCAACGATTTACAGGAGCATTGATTTGTGACTTCCTAGGCAAACTTGAGGAAAGGAGGTGATCACAACATTCATCCATCCTGGTTAGGGATAAGCAGCCCTTTCAAAGACTGTTTTGGAAGTATAGTGTGCATGGCATGACTACCAGTCCAACACAGAGTGAGCATGCAGCCAAATTAAAGCCATCAGTTAAGGTAGCTAGCATGTAATCGGAAGGTGGGAGGAAACCGCAGTACGTAGAGAAAATGAATGTGATTGGACAACACGTCCAAGGCACTGAAGCAGATGGGCCTTGATTTTGAGGATTATAACTAGTAAATAATGAACATTTTCTATTTCTCCAGCCAGGAGGTATGCACCCCTCTCTAGAGCAGAAGTGAGGCAACAGCACTACCTGCCACAGCTGAAGACAAGGAGCAACTTGATAAAGAAAGGATTTATTTGTCTTTTGGACACAGTCTCGATGCATTTGATTTTTAAGGGAGAAATCGATATTAAGGCACCTTTTGCACCTGGATACATTCTCCAGCTTTCCTCGTGTGAAGGAAACAATCGTGGTTTGGTTTGTGACACCCCCCAGATAAGCCCTCATTAATAGTAAGCTCACTTTAACAAATGGCAGCACTGAAGAAATCCCCCAACCCAGTCCAAAGCATTCATCACCCTTTCATGTCCGTCAGCAGACAGGCATCTTGTATTATTCATGAGTGAAGGCCATTAGTACAGCTTCATCTGTCCTGTCCTAAAAATGGCATCCCGCGCTTGGTGTTGCTATAACTCAACAGTGGAGAGACAGCGCAGAGCACAGCCTCCCGACAGCTCCTCTTCATCCTGTCATCTTATCACCTGCATCTGCTCAAGGTGACACATTGAGATGCGGCCATTTTTCATTCTGGAATTCCGCACACATTTATGGCCTTTTTCTTGTTTTATCTTCCTTCAGACTTCCTGTACACAGATGAGCAAAGGGAACAGCAGTTCCTGTAAATTCCATCGCACTTAATTTTACCTGACACTTAAAACACTTTGTCTTCTGTTGCTAGGGAATAGGACAGATAGAAAATGGGTTGTTCAAAGGAACCAAATGCAGATTGGCTCTTAGAACCACAGCTGATACCTATGTCCTGAACATAAATGTTCTGAATAAACGTGATCAGTGATATGTACATTGTTTTGGAGGCATAAGGCTACTTCAGGTCTGTACCTGTTCTTTGTTAGATCTATTAATGGGAAGAATATTAAATATCCTAAGATATAGCTATTTTCAGACAAGGGACCTTAAATATGCTATTTTTCACATGTTCAGTAAGTGAAAGCCCCCCGTTTATATTTAGTAGGGTTTTCGCACTGATCTAAAATCATTCATACGTGTAAAGTGTAAAGTTTGTTGTACAAGTACATACTGTAGACTAGAGGTAATTTCCCACTTGTTTTTCTGAAACAAATATGTATGAGACAAACACGAACACTGGCAAAAAAAAAAAACAACTTACAAAAAATACACTTATAAACAGATAAAGACTATTCAAATCATTTAAAAAAACCTGTAGTCAATTAGACAACCAAAAACGCTACAATAATTGTTAGAAGTTGCATAGTGAATTTCAGATAAATGCCTTTTGTAGATGGACAAGAAACACACCACATCTTCCTTGGAATAGTAAAATAATGAAAACGAATTCTTTTTAAATTTAGAAATCATTAAACCTTTATTTACAATTTTAAAGTTCAATTTAGTTAACAAATATATATATGTATAATATATACATATTCGTATACACATAAGGGAACCAGGTTATTTTACAACAATCTTACACAAATTCATTAGTAACCGAGTCATATCAAACAGCAGATGAGAGCCTACATATTTACACCCTGTAGACAGATCATTAAGTCTTCATTTCATTTGTTTCACTCACAGTACATTATTGTCATTTAAATAGTCACAAACTCTGAATTGCAATTGCCCTACATTAAGAATTAAAAAAATGAACTGATTAGCAAATCATTTGTGCCTAGCACCACATTCTTTTATAAAACCAGCCTTTGACTGCAGTTTATCCTAGGATGCCCTGTCTTACTAGGTGCCTCTAGTAGTCTCACACCGTTTATGGCTTCAGTTTAACCCTTATGCAAAAACACTAGCATCACTCTTCTTTGACCTAGCAGTTGTGGTCAGTATCAGATACTGACCACCGAACTTGCATAATAAGGTGTTGCAAACGGCACAGAATGAATTATTCACGTCAGCTCTCAAAGGTATCACCCTATTCGTGTTTACATAGGGACTGTACCATCAATACAAAACAGGATAGCTCCGCAAAACTGGGGTGACCCAGATGAGTCTTCAGCCACACTGCATTCACAAAACACCAATGAAGGGATGAGGGTGGGTCAAGATGCAGCTTTTAGTGACCATTTAAAAATACTTTAACCGTGGTGCAACGGAGCAGGTATAAATCACTCCCATGACATTTCAAAGAGGGAAGACGTACTTCCTCATGTCACACAGCATGAACACCGGGGACAGATTCAGAGACTGGTATCCAGGAACACCTTTGTATCAATAAACATATGGTTTTAAAACTCAGCTTCATTTACCATGGATGCTCTTGTTTTCTCTGATAGTGTGGATTACCAACACAGAACCTAAAACAATGCCAAGATGCCAAACAATGGAGATGGTTTTTGTCTCCCTTCACCGTTAAGGACACTTTAAAAAAATGCATTGACAAGCCACGGCTAGCAATCGGTGCAGTGATCAGTTATATTTAACTGGTTAGAATGTAATTAGATACTGAATCACTGATACAAACAGCCAGACAGTTGCTAAACTGCAATAAGAAACTCCTGTGGCAAGATGGAAATTGCTACACACAGCTGTCACAGTCATATACAACAATATAACCTGGACTGACATAAGACTATGATAGCCCTTGAGCTATCATTGCACCATCATTGGCAACATTTCAAAGTAAACAGCTACATATTTTCTTTCCACTACATAACTGTGGATCTAATCAATAGCCAGATGAACTGTCCCAGATTCAGAGCTTTTGAAGTACAACCTAGCCACTGAAAGTATGTGTATTTCCATTTATCTAACTATTTCTTTAAAGATGGAGGACCTAGGAATTCGAAAGTACCGTACCATTGTTGAGAAATCAGCTATGAGAACAAACAAATGATAAAAGGCAGGAGGCAAAAGGTAAAAGATAAAAACAAAAGACTGGATCCAATCAGTGACCTGTCATTTTAACATCTTAGGATTGCTACTGTGCAGAGTACTGATAACAGAATGCACCACAGGATCTTGTAACCTGAGTTTACTCATGTTTCATTTTTAAGCATTACACCTCTGTTTCTTTGCAAGGAAACCCAAGCAGTAACCTTGCTGCATCGCCTTCGGTAAAGTATTCTGTTTGGTGGGAGTTAAATAAGGCTGAATTTAGAATAATCTGAATGGAAATGAAACATGATGCCTGGATGGTAAATGTTAATGTAGCCCATTAGAATAAAACTGAAGACTTCTACAAAAGCATCAACGCCTACATAACCTATGAGGCACTTAAAACAGAATCAAGTAACAGAAAAGGCAACTCTCGCTAATGAAAATCCAGCTTTGCAGTGCTTATCTTGGTTGGAAAGCCCTCATTTTATACATTGAAAAAAAAGATCATGTTTGTTGCACAAGCAAGACTGGTCTGCAGCACAGTGTCAAGTATCCAGGATGGGATTGGTACAGATCTGTATTTTCAGTCCAGTGCTTATTTAAAGATAGGTCACCAGAAACAAAATCGCATTGCATCTTACTGCGTTTTAGAAATGTTGCTGGATTTGTGACTGTATTTTCGTGTTTTTTGGGTACAAAGGAATAATGTGTTGTCCTGAAATATAACCATTCCACCTTGTAGAATTGACCTTGATGTATTACTACGTCATTCTTCTGTGCTTGAACTTTAAATTCAGTTCTGCATTAGTGTACTAACCATTTAAATCTAAATCTTCCTAATACTCGCATTTAAAAACTCTTTTATGATGCAAGTGAACATCTTGCTCATTTCTGGGTTTAAAAAAAAAATCCCCAAGGAATTTTAAAACGTGTCAATTTATTTTAGCCTTGCACATTACTCTAAAAAGACTTATCTCCTAACATTGAATTATGTGTTCTACTTAATAAATTAGGACAATGATAAGGATACAACATTACAAAAAACTTCTCTTTTCTACTATAAATGTTTATTAATATTTCTTATAGTTTTTTTTTCCCCCCTGTGCAGAATCCACTGGCTCCTGTGCAAAACCTTAACTACCAGTGTCTGGGGACTATCTTCGTTGTCCAGCTGAAGATCCAAATCTCAGATGCAACCGAAACAATCCACAGGTGCGTGACCATCTTTCGGCTTTACTCCCACAGACTGCATGTCTCATGAGTGCCTTGTACAAATCAGAGAGTCAAGAGACCATAGATGGGAAAGTGAGCTGATGGTAAGAGCTTTGCCCCCTCTCCTCCTTATCTGGGTCTGAAAACCACCTGACACTTTCTGAATGCCAACATTGCCAATTGCTACATTTTGTGACACGCTTAAGGCAGATGAAATCTTGTGGGTACAACAGGAAAAATGAGACGGCAGATGGGTTTCCGAGATCTTTCATTAATGAGCAAAGTTCTGCATCAAGGATGCACATAAAGTGAGTCCACGTATTCAAGTGATGCAGACTGAACTGCCTTACCAGTAAATGGTGGAAAGCTGGCAAAAAGAAGAATTCACAAGCACAAATTTGCACAGATCCAAGGGGAAGAGAAGATATACAGAATTGTCTTTTTATAATAATCTTTAAGAACACGAATAAATATTGCTGAAGATAAATTCCATCATTTTTGATGATGTGAAGAGTAAAGTCTATGACCGGTCTGAGGTTCCACTGGTTGGCAAAGGTGGCATCATATGTCCAGGAAAAGGAACTAGATCTGAACAGCTGAGCTCAAAAAGGATGGCTAAAGGCATGAGGCTTTAATTGGCACGTTGGGTTCAGGTAAGGAGGCGACACAAGTTGAAAAGTGAAGGGTAACAGGCAACTTGGACCTGTAAGGCAGAAGAGGAGTTCATGATAGGACTTCCTCGGCCTTCCTGTCCTGTAACTGGTTCAGGACATCAATTGTGTCTTTAAGTAAGGCATCAAAGATCCCATCAGCAAGCTGCATCTTCACAAAGAGCTCATCTTCATCATAATTAACCCACTGTGATTCCTCCTCATGCAGCTCCTGGACCTGTTGGCAAACAGAAAGGTACAGAATGAATATCATTTGAGAGCAAGACTCAATTCAGCTACATACAGACTTCAAGGTGCTGAAGAATTGCAAGAACTAACCATAGGGGACTAGCAACAAAACAACAGCATTTTTATCATCATAGTGATGTACTATTTCTGTTGACTACTAATGAAGTTTGAAGATGCAACATTATTTCAAGTAGGTAGCTCCATCAGCATATGCAGACTCTAAGGGACAAGTAAAGGTTAATTCCATGCTGAAAAAAGAAAAGAAACACAACGTGTCGGCCATAGAGCCTTCCTCTCGAGCTGAAACGTTGTGTTTCTTTTCTTCTCTTTTCAGCATGGAACACACAGATTATTTGGTTACTGCAGATATAATGAGATGTATCTTTAGATTAATTTTGAACAAATGGCTCACTCAAAGCTCCTATAAATGCAGGTGATTTCCCCTCTAATAAAGGATTTGATTGCCATTGATGTTACAAGCATAAAGATGCCTGACTATTTCTAATTTCCTCTCACAAAAACAAGGAATGAACAGAATCTGGGCGCAATACTTACCAAGATGTGATCCACTCTGTCACGCTTTTTCCTTCCAAATTTTAACATTTTTTGCCAGTCTGTTTTTTGATTCTGGTCTTTCTTTAGGCCAAACAACTTCAATACCTCTGCAGTAATAAAAGCCTAAGAGTGGAATAAAACAAATACAGTTAAGAACTGAGTCTTCAAATAATGCATACAGTCTACAGCACAAAAAAAACAATCACCACTCAAAACCAATCACCAGCATAGCAAGGAAGAGGAAGGTACAATCCATTATCTTGTTGGTCCATGCATTTTTCCCCCAACTACTGCTAAGATCACAAAAGTGAATTTGAATAAAAAATGTAGACATGGGTCACTTTTGAAGAGAAGCCTGTATATAAAATATCTTATGACTGCTGAAAGAGAAACATTCCAACATTGATGTCAGTAGGTATTTTATAAAAAAAACTGGCTCCTTAATTTTTTTCTTGTAATTCAAATATTGCTGACATTTTCTGAAGTTCTATACAGTCCACAAGTGAGGTACGACTACTGCAAAAGTAATGAATGTAATAATCTGATATTAACAGATATGAAATGGATAAGTTTAAAATGTTTAAATAGGCAGCGTTCAATGAACGGCAGAGCGTGTCAATAGTTCTACTAGGCTGGGTTGTGTTTGTGAAGCAAGCAACTTGCACTGTTTACTTTTTGGTTTGTCCTGCACAGCCCAGCTTAATCAAGTCTTTGCCCACTGGCCTGATGTTAAACACACAATGAGGCTTAAAGTACACATTGATCCCTTGTTGATGACTATGTAAACATCAGAGTTCAACATTTTTCCAGGATGGTGTGGTTCAAAGGCTGCAAGGTTTTGCCATCCATGTGGCAAAGGAGATAAGGATTAACAATCACATTGCTTAAAAAACTCAGGTCCATTATTTGTCTAGCATTGTGGCCGCAGCAAAGGGTTTCGAAAATCTTACATTAAGGTCTGAGCTAGGACAGTCAAGCAGAAAATAGAAACATCTGCCTCACCTTCACTTCCGAGATGTTATTAGGATTTTTCACTCTCCTGTAGTAAGAAGAGTTCAAGCGGCGAGGTTTCCTCCATTGGGGCTGGTTGGCGTTGGGGTCTTCAGCAAAGATCTCCTGGAAGATCTCCTTCGTCAAGTCGAACACAGACTGATAAAAATAACGACAGAAACAATCAAGAGCACATCCACTATAATGTAGATAGGACTGGATAGACTTGCTCTGCATTATCATAAAAGGCTGTGTTGTAGATATAAACTGTATGCAACGAAGTACAGAGGACAAAATGTCTGTACCCTGCCTAGTACTCCACTTGCAGTTGCTTGTACGAAAAGCATACATGGGGTGAGATCTGTGGAAAAACTATTTTAAAATCTGTACATCATATAACACGTGGGCCAGAATTGAAAGAGCTCCCTCTTTAGACGGCACAAAAAGTTGATTTAAATGGTCTCTGATTTTTTTAAAAACCCATTATGTTAGCTAGCACTTTGCAACATTCCTACCAAATGTAGCACTTTAACTTTCCACTCCTGAGAGCACTGCAAATTAGTGGAACTCACCCCCCATTTGGAAAATAAACGGGGAATCGTTGGGGAAACTGTTAGAGAGGAGTCAGGGTGAATAAAGAAAGGAAAGGCAAACAAATCTGTTGAACCTTAAGAGTTTAATGAAGCTGGAGGAAGCCTAACATCACTCATATTTCAGGGGGGAAGGGTCAGACATACCTGTTTGTAGCTGTGCCTGCTGATGCTTTCGATGTCCTGTCCCTTGGTGTCGTTACCCAGATAGTGGGCGGGGGCAGAGACATTGTGGACGCTGTGCCCGAGCTCCTGGAACTTCCACAGCTCATCAGTCGCCATGTGCACCAGCCTCTCAACCTGTGGCGCGACGTGCGGCACCACCATGAGGGGCTCCTCCCGGGGCTTGGCCGGAGACGGGGGCTCCGGGCGCGAGGCGGCCGCGGCCTGCTCCGCGGGGCCGCCCTGCTGCTGCTGTCTCTGCTGCTCCTTGCGGGAGCTCAGGCCGAAGTCCTCGTCGAACCAGTCCTGCTCGTCTCCTCCCAGCACGTCCAGCAGCTCGCGGCTCAGCTCCAGCTCTGCCAGTCGTTTGGCCAACTCTTCCTGGCCACTGGCTCCAAACACCGGACTCTCCTGGCCGGCAACAGCACGGAAAACAAGTTTCAGGGATCGTCAACAAACAACTGTGATGCACTTATACTGATACAACTTTTTGAAACAAAGATATTTATTTTTAGCAATATGGGAACAGAAAACATCTATCCATAAAGATATATTAGGAAATATTTGTTATTTTTTGTGTTGACTACAAACAAGTAATAATGACTTACTTTAAGTGCTTAAAGCTAGCTATGATATCTGGTGCATTGACACATGCAAAATATGAGGTGATTCACTTTTCTTTGGAATTAAAACCCCTTTCTGAAGTCCATTTTAGCTAAACATTTTGGAACTAATACTACAAAAACCATTTTGCAGCTTACCAAATGTTCACCAAAAGAGAATATGTTCCCCAGAGAGTGGAAACCAGCTTTCATTTTGTAGTGAAGCTTATTTGAAGCATCCTCATTAAATTTAGATTTGACAAAATAAAGACCTACTGCTGGAGGATTTGCACATTCAACATTTACTATCTGGTCCAAAGTTAAACAATCTCCTGCTTTCTGCTACAAAGTGAAGGTATTCTGCTTTTCAAATTGAATTTGTGTAACTATTCTTTAAAGCGTGAAATGTTGTAATATTCTAAAAACATTGAATGATTACATTTTTTGAGTTTGATAGAACTGGGATTAACTATCTATTAATTATCTATAATCAACTTATACAGAAAGGGTATCTGCCAGCTGAGACAGCAACAACAGACTGCACTGAAAGCTTCACCTATTTTTATGTCTATATTTACATAAACCTGTAGGGAAAAGAATCAATACTGAATAAACAAGTCTTTGGACTCTGTTAAAATGCTTTTCGTTTTAGACAGATATCAGTATTGACAAACACTTTCAGAATATGGATGATATAAAACTACCAAGCAGGTTTATCAGTTCCAATGTATAATCATTTACCGGATTGGTATTTAGTTTGTACAGGGAAAAATACACAGCTGTTTACAGTTGGCAGATTTTATCAGATTTTATCTCTTCAACCTTTACCGGCAAGAATAGAAAAAAAAAACATTATCTTCCTCTGGACTGAGTCTGAAGAACAGCACGAGCAACTATATTCATTTTAATTGAAATGACAGTAAAACCAGTCTCTTCACATTAAAGCCTGTATTTAAGCTCTATTTCTGATCTTAGCAAATATGCTCTGACAAATATCCTAACTTTCAAATGTTCAAATTTGGTAAAGTAATAGATAAAATTGATGTATAGGGGTTCTTAAAGCTCTTAAAGAGACTGCCGTGAAGAATATTAGGGATTGACACAATCTATAAAGGAAGGAGAGAGATTTGCATCTTGCCCACGACAAGACACATACTGGTTTGCAGATACGATACATGTAGAATGGGCATCAACTCACCGGTCTAGCACAGAGCTCTGGGGAGGAAGCTCCATCCCCCTCCTCATCCAGAAATTCAGAGGCACTGTCTTTCAGCACTTCGGAAGGTGATGTTTGCTGTGGAGGATCTCTTGGGGAAGGTTCCTCTTCAAAGTCATCCAACACTTTCTGATTTGCCAAAGCAATCTTTTCATTTCGAGCTTTCTTAATTTGTTGTATCTGCTTAACAGCATCTCTCATAAAATTGTTGAGAACCCTATCAGCAAATGTGCTAGCTTGCTGCTCTCTTTTCTTGGGCGTCTCTTCTTCCTGAACCTCAGGGGTCACATCAGGCTCGAGGGGCTTCAGCTGAACCTCCAAATGGTCCTTCTCCCGAGCCAGAAGGTCAAGCAGAGGAGTAGATGACTTCTCCTGCTCCTGTTGGTTTGAAGCTTCCTTACTAAATCTGTTAACCTCTGAATTCAAGAGATTGCACTCCTCCACCGATGAAGTTTTCATGTCCAAATCAAATTTGTGTCTTCCATTCAGAATTAGATGCTTGCCTTCATTTAATTCCTTATCAGATTCTAATTCAAGGTCATTCAGTTCAACATCCTTTTCAGCTGAATTCTGGAGAGCAGGGGGTTCTTCTGGATCATCAATGGTAGGTGTGCTGTCTCTCAAATTACCTTTAGGCTCAGTTTGCTCTCGCTTGTGGTCACGTCTGTTTTGCTCATTCCCTGCATCTTTCTTCCCGTCTTTTCCTTTATAATCACCATCACACTGGTCATCAAGAAATGAATCTTCATCTTCTGTGGTGTCCACGTACATCTCATATGTATCTGGTAGCCGGGTAATTTTGTCAGGCGGGGCAAAGATGCCATGCCCTTCTTTGCACTTGAAGTAAACAACCCCATCATATGTTCCGTTGTTACTTCCCTCGGACTTGTCCAGCTCCACTCCAGCCCAAAAGCCATTGGCAAAGATGGTTTTCCCTTTGAAACGAAGCGTGCCGGGTTGCACACTGCTTACCAAAACCCTGTCCCCAAGGTTGAAATCAGACATCAGATCCAAGTCTGAGGTAGTTGGGGAATGAGGTCTTGAATTAGGTGATGATGGTACTGGGCTAAGGACCTCATTTTGTTCCCTGTTGCTACTCTCCTTGCCTTTTAAATCATCAGCCTGAGATGTCAGCTCCAGGAGTCTTCCTGAGTGGAAGCTGCCACTAGTGGAACTGGATTTTTCACTCAGCTCTTCGCTGACTTCTTCACTGATTGAAGCAGGAGACTTGCACTGAGACCTTTCCTCCCCTTCCTTTTCAATGGAGGCTGCCTTGGATTCAAGCGAATCTTTCAGTGATGAGGATTCTGACGAAGACTCAAAATCATCCCAGTAGCATTCTACAGGGGGGTATTCTTCATTTTCTGGTGGTATCATTTCTTTTTCTGGTGACAACGCATCAATGTCAGGAGAGTAGGAACTCTGTCTTACTGCAGAAAGCATCTCTGTTAAGGGGAGGTCAATACCTTCATGCTCCTCAGCAAGAATGATGGTAGGCTTTTCTGATTTTTTAGGTTCTGATGAGATGCTAGACTTATTGCCCTCATCTTCTTCACCACCATCTACAGCAGATTCCTGCTGTTCCATTTTCTCTCCAATGGAAGCATCCTTTTCAAGATCCATTCCTTTTGCTGTTGTTAGCTCATTATGATCATGTAGTTCCTCCTTCTGAGCAGACTGATCCTGGGATTTAGTAAGCAAACCCAGATGTTTTAAGTGCAAATCTTCAGACTGGGAGTGCAAATTTTCAGAATCCGACTCTTCATCGTTCAGCTGCTCCAGTTCTTCAACAATTTCAGATCTCTGGCTCGAAACAGCACTTTCATCTCCAGAAATCTCTTCCTGTGTGTTGGCTGCTTCATTGTGAATCTGAGCGTCTGTAGAAAGGTTTCTGAAAACAGGCTCAGGTGAAGTTAGGCTCTCAGGAACATTGACAGTTTCTGGACTAGCCTGGATGGGAGATACAGTAATAGTAGGTTCTTCATTGGAAGGTCTCTCCTTGTTTGTAGGTACAAGCTTCTCCTTGCTTGATAGGGTGTCATCATCTACAAATTAGATTACAATAATTTCAATTACATGATATGAAGCATCCTAAAAGTACTATATTGTTTAAGTAATACATACCCAAGTCAATTTAGACACAGTATGAAGGTAGAACCATTTATTTCAAACTCATGCATAAACTTGGTGAAACATGACCGGAGTTAATAATGATTTCACCTTTTACAAGAAAGAAGCATATAAACACAATTGCATACTATTGCATACTATTCCTGGTACACAATCTGTATCAAGGAGTCCTTAGAAGGAGGTATATTATAGTTCAGATGTCTGGTATGGTACCTGAGACTGACTATGCTAGTGTAGTCTGATGCACTGATTCTCTCTGGTGACGGTGTTATCTTAATACTGATTAGAGGAGAGGAGTATCCATTACCAAGAACATTGCAAGTGCCAGTCATGAGCTAACCGAGCAGCTTTACTAGGAAATCTTTGTCATAGTCAGCTAGTAACGGAGACCTATGTTGAATTTCCAACATTAAATTACAGAGCTCAACCTACACTATGACTGACCGCTTTTACAGGTTGAGACACCCAGGATGCCCTACAACAACTGATCTTGTCCACACAAAATCAGATTAAGTATGGGTTGATCCATTGATCAAGCCATACATTATATAATTTGAAATATATATTTGTACCCGGCATAAAGGTTTTTTAGTACTATGTGCGCAATAAATACTAATACTTACCATGTTTTGCAGGAGAATCTGGCAAAGGAGACTTTTCCGATTCACTACCAATCTTCCAAGTCTTGTTTGTTTCACACCTAAAATATAGGGCTGGATTATAACCTTGTTGTTCCTTAACGCTATTATGTGATTTTGTAACTTAATTCTGAAACTGAATAGAAGAGTCTAATCATTTAATCTGGACCTGTGAGATGGAAGCTGTTTTCTTCCCCTTTAAGAACAGCCTGCAGCTCAGCTTTAAACTGCCTATACCTGATTTCACATGTAAACATCGAAAAATACAGAACACCTTCCTATGTATATAAAACACATATTGCTTATGTATATAAACAACCTATGTATATTAAGGTTGAAGAATAGAATAATTTGGAAACAGGGAAAGCTGAAAACAGGGAATCCAAAGTCAATTAGCAAATTCAAACTTACTAGTTTTACTCTTACAAGCCCAGCCAATAAAGTACACCTACTGTAGGTGTTTTCTATAAACCCTAGTTATAATATGATGAAGGGACCAGGACCTACAGCAAGAAGCAGTCCCTGACAGATGCACTGACTTCTAGCAGTGGAGATGGGCTTTTCTGCACCATATATACTGCACTGACAAATCTCTCTGAATTGAATGATACTTGAATTGACAAATGCCTGCTGGCGGCAATAAGATGCCAGTTTAGTATTCTGCACCACAGGCCGGCAACAGAACAATGAAAAAGTGAACAAAGTGTTACAAGGCCATGAGAATGTAAACTCTTGTACTTTAGGGGGGTCCAAACCCACCCCTGTGGACCACCTCATCTGTTTATTTCACCCCATTGATCTGGATACTTAAATAAAACCTTAATTAAATTAACACATTGCTTAATCTGAACATTTGTAAGTGTGAAAGTTTAAAGTCTCCAAACATCTGAATTTACTTAAGAAACACAACAGTTAAAAAGCTCTCAGCAGATTTAAGAACGGAAATCAGATTTCAAATTAAACCTATTGTTCAGTTTATCGAGGATTAAATTATTTACTAAGTGCTTAGGAGATCAAAAACCAGCAGGTCTGTGAGTTTCGGGGACCACAATTGGGAAACCCTGTTGTGTTTGTCTCACATACCTTTGCAGTGGTGGGGGTTTGATCTTGGGTTTCCCAGAGACAGAGGATGGTGTTTTGATCTGAGGTTTGGTTGTGGGTGAAGTGTCGGGTTCTTTATCCAGCTCAGCCTTGGTCTTGTTGATAAAGTCATTATAAGACTAGAAAGAGAAAGTTGAGAAAAAGTTTAAGGTACAAAACAAATCACCAGTTACACTAATAATACATTATAAAATGTTTTTTTTTTTTTTACTTCTTACAGGTTCCAATTACAGCATCACATTTTCTAAAAAACAATATCAAATAGTTCCCAACTTCATAGTAGCTCAAGGATATAAAAAATGTAGCTCTACGGACTGAAAATATTAAACCATTTTCTGACATTTGAGGTCTGTTATCTATGCTTGGATGGCATAAAATCCATCCTAAAAAAAGATCTTGCCCAGACATTCCTACCAGAAAACTTAATCCTTGTCGGCCACAAACCTGACAATCAGTAGTAAACTCCTTTACCTCAACAACACATCAAATGTTCTCTTTTGGGGATTTTGTTATATTACCTAAGGTGGTGCAAGTAAAGATCTTCAAACTTTTCATTTGTGTTTTTTTCCGCTGGTTAGGAAACAGACCCTTTGCCATTAAGCTCGCCTATTCACTTACAAGGGCTTACATTATTGCAAGTGGTTAATTCTGAAACTGAGCAAGAAACCGCAAGGTTCTGCAGCAGCCAAAGCGCTGTGGTTAGTGGTACAGCAATGTAAATCTCATGATTACAGCCATAGATCTGAAGAGGGCCTCCCCACATCCAAACAATGCAGGGAGGCCTTGCGATGGAGTAAACACTGACCTCCAGCTGTTTGAGCAGGCTGGCCTCCTGTGCCTTCAAACGCTCCTTGTGCCGTTTCTTCTGCTCCTTCTTCAGCTGGTACACAATGGATTTGCGTCTCCGCAGCTCTTCCTTCAGAGCACGAATCCGGCTCTCAATGTCACTCTGGTCAGATGTCGTTTCTATAAAAACCGGACACAGAGGTATGTAGGCATGAAAAGGGTTTCTGTACGTAAGTGCCAATATTATTGATTTACTAGCTCTGGGCTTACTGGATTTTCACTAACTAGAAGGCAATGCTTCATTACTGAAAGCAATAATCAAAAAGGGTGAGGAAACCTTTTTTAACAATTACACCAAACCTCTCCCCAGAATTGCTTTTTCCCCTATTTTATAATAGTAGTTATCTAATGCCTTTGGCAAATGCACATTCATGACAGTACAACATGCATCAAATATTTCATGAACGCACAGCATGAATAAATGCAGTAAGAACAGAAGATGTGGACAGGGGATCCTTAAAAAATGTACATATGAATTTGTCAAAATACATTTTTCACGTGATAAGCTAGAAAGTGTTTTCTTAGTTTTAGTGTATATCCATTACACTTAATTCCGATAGTGCCATGAAATTGTTGCACTGCAACTTTCTATGAACCCCATTTTAAATGTAGAAACTGTTAATTAGGAGTCAGAAGGTGACCTCACAAACCTTAAAATGCCATTTAAACCTACCAGTGATGGATGGAGATTCATCAGACAAAATCTCAGGAGCTTTGCAAGGCTTGGGTACTGATCTCACTTGCATCCTGCTAGTCCCGCTGCTGGATTTGGTCATGTCCTGCTTTGATTTGCCGATATTGGCTTTTGAAGACGCTGTCTGTAAAACAAGAGGACGACGGGCTCAGGAGGATTCAGGGTTTAAAAGTACATTCTTAGGTTTACAAACCCAGCCAGCGAGACACTTAAATTAAAAACGGCAAGATGCACTTCTATACCACCTCCCTAATTACACAAACAATTCCCCACTCACACTTGCGTTAATGTGAAATAAACAAATGAGAAAGGCAAAAATGTAAAAAAAAAATCCTGGTCAAATTTTAACTCTTGAAAAATATTTGCTTTCCTTGGAAAACCAAACAAGTGGATAAAAATTGCACATCACAGTCAGACAGGCACAAATATTTGAGGATTTGCTTTTGATGACTCACTCAACTCATTTTTGAGATATATATCTTCTTTAAAAGGACTGTTTTGTTTTTCCTTAATTGAATGTGTGATGATGGTTTTAAACTTGTTAAATATCTACTGCAAGAGGTCGCCATGCACTTAGTTTCACATTTTTAACTGAAATGACTGTGGCAGAAAGATTGAAGAATACTGCAATGGGCAAATGGTGAATGATTGTGGTGACAAACAGAGCCTTGTGAGAGCTGTGCAAAGCACACCAATCAGGACCATCAACAGCCTGTCATTTACGTATGTACAAACAACAGATACAATGCAGGCAAAAAGCTTAGGTATTCTGCAGTGTTCTACTCTTTTCAGTCATTAGTTTTCCTACCTTATGTAAACAGTACTAAACAAACATTTCTATAGTAATTTTTAAGCCATTTTGGCATTTAAGCCATTTTGTTCTAAACCAACAATAATCTGGACAGCACAGGCCTTTTAGAGCTTTAATGATGTGTAGAGAAAAGGAAACAATCTTAATGACCAGGGACAGCGGAACAACTGTCAATTAGATCTGGTAATTGTGACTGATTAGCTACCACAACACTAGGGTAATAAACTAGGTTTATTCTCACCCAAACTAAGCAGTTTTAATAGCAGCTAATGTTGCTATAATAGCAGAAAACACTACCAGAGGAATATAGTAAACTGTTGATGTTCATAACATACACATATTGTAATTCGTGGTTGTCTTAAGTACACCAGTATAGCACGCAGATATTATAAAAAGCTATTTATGTACAATTTTCAGAATTTTTCAATGGCAATTTTAAATCTTACATGTTACAGTAAGTACTCAAACAGAAGTTTCATAATCAGGCCTGTTATAGAGTCAGAATGATGAGGAGTTCACCAGGCGGAATGATGGCCTTACTGTCTTGTCATGGGAAGAGGGACTCTCAAAGTCCTGTGAATAGGCAGAGCTGTCTTGGAGACTGGTTTCCTTATCTGGAGTGGGCAGCTCAGAAACAGGAGTCTCTGCAGGGGGGCTGCCCACCTCCTCAGGGATAGAAAGATCCGTGCGAGGACTGAAGTGGGTCTCCACAGCAGTACCCTCCTCCTCACTCCCGGGCTCTGTGACACAAACTACACACATGCACACATTAACTCATAGGAAAAGAATAACTGTGCAGAAATATTTTGCAGTAACAGTGCAAACTATTTTGTATGTTTGTTGTTTGACCACTTTACATTTACATGACCATACAGTGTTTCTAATTCTAGTTTATTGAGCAACTTCAGCCTTTTATGTAAATTGAAATAAAGGTTTGTATTGAATAAATAATAATATCGACATATATCATGCCAAAATGCTTTGACTAATTAGAGCATACACTTAAATGTGAATCCACTAAACGTTAGAAAGATCATACGACCTTTGCACGTTATACAGTACAAATACATATTCTTGACAGGGACAAGATTAATATATGATATACAGAACATAAAAACCAGAATGGAAACAAAGCAGCAGTATATGACAGCTTGATCTGGTGCACAGTACAGAGCTTAAGCCCAGAAATTCCTGTAAAAGCATGATATTTTATGACATGGCATACAATTTAACAAGACATGCTAGTTGCATACATCTTTCCCAGAGAATCAATATATCTCCACGAGACTTATTTAGATCATTTGCAAGAGAAGATTAAATGGCCAAAAGGAGCACTCCCTCATCATGATGCGCTGATAAAAAAGACCAGCAGTTGGGCTTTGCAATAGGTTAAACAGCATTTCCTTTTCAAAATGGACAAAAAGTGCAACGTTTTAAAACGATCCCATGCTTGTTCCTATATTGTTTGCACAATTTGCGGGAGCTACTACCTACTCCCTCGCCTTCTTCTTGCTCACAAGCCTCAGGCTTCAGACCCCCCCGGTCCCACGAAGATCCAAGCTACGTCCTCGGCTCTCACCTCGGCCGCTGGGGCTGCTGTGGCCCGGCTCTCTCCGGGCAGCGCTGTCCCTCAGCAGCTGTCTGTCCCACACGGCCAGGGCCTCCTTCTCCATGCGCCTCACCTCGGCCTCCTCCTCATCCAGCCGCCGCTTCCACTCCAGCAGCTCCTCCGCGTGGCGCCGCCGCTGCACGAGCTGCTGCTCTCGCTTGGTCAGGAACCTGCCCAGGACGACACCTGTGAGGGGCCCCGCTGCTGCCGAGCTGGGCCCCACCAAAGAGAGACACCCACCACAGGGGCTCCCGGCTAGCGGAACACAGAGCCCCTCCCTCTGAACCACTGCAATCACTTAAGAAACTTCTAGCGTCCCTTGATGTCACATTCATGCACCTCTTTTGGGATGGAAAAAAAGCACAAGGCTCCTGAACCGAAGTTGTATACACAGCATTTGGGCAACAGAAATGCCGCTGTGGATATAACTTTTGATCAAAAGGGGCTGACCAAGGTTGCGGAAACAGAGGACAATAAATTTTAATAGAATGAAATGAGAGTTTATATTTAGGTACACAGTGAAAAGGTCCAATTAGCGCAAACTAAAAGCCCTCTGATGTTCTGGATCTTTCTGCCAAATTAATATTCCAGAACGTAAATCCCCCTACAGGTCATCCCTGCTCAAGAGATGTTCTCAACATTTGTATTCCTTTTTTTTAAATTAGGACCTCTAATTAAAAAAAAAAACTTGAACAATCACGAATGTGGTATTTCAGGAAAAACAGGGAGCCTTCTTCATGTAAAACCAACCCATTTTAGAACTCCATCAAGCCCCAGCAATACATTCTTATTTTGGTGCCCTATCCTACCGATTTTCTCCTTAGTAACAATAATTAGTTAATCAGCGACATTAGCTAAGAGATTTAGTTTGATCAATGGGTATATAACGGACAAGAAAATGGCATATATTTTATCACTGGTAAATAATTCAGCAATTAGCAGAATTACCTCACTGAACAGGCACAGTACTTTATTTTTTCTTTATATTAAAGGCCTGAAGATAGATTTTTAATGTAACCGACCATAATAAATTATCTGAGTCATTATTCAGATCATTTATTACCCTTACATTTAATATACAGAGTCCTGAAACTCTGGGGAAAAGTAAGTCAGAATCTTAAAGAATCCACTTTAGAAGACTTTAAAATCAACTAGACATAATATTCCTCAACAACCATTTTTCATAATCATAGAAGAGCCTCCTATATTTATCATCAGCTTTACATTCATAAGTTGTTGATGGTACTTTACTTTTCCAGAATGGACCACAGAGATATCTCAGAGGGTATTCTGAGACACGAGGAAAAAAGTTTCATTTTAAACTTTTAACATTAAAATAGCTCTTGTTGCATCTTACTGTATTATTACTAAAACGTATTGAGAAATCCTATTTAGGATAGTGCACCAACTCTAAAATAACAGGCTTAGGATGCTTCTCCAGTGCTTCAAACCTCACAGGGTTCTGTCCTTGTATCAGTGGTGTTTTGTTAGAGTTGGGATGAAGGTGAGGTCGGTGGCATCACTATAGTGGAGGGAGGGTGCTCTTCTGCGTTTTTCAACAGGAAAATATCCTTACAGTAAAGCCGACTGACGATGCCTCCACTGTATTGCATAATCCAGTGCTCACAGAACAACAAAACTAACCTGGACAAATTAACTCTGAATCACACTCACAAATATCAATTTATAAAACAACAAAATAAAAGTACTGTAAGATGAAAGGAGTAAAAAAATAAACCACTACTTTTGAGACCAGCACCTTTAGAGCATGAACGAATTATAACGGGACAATCATACCATTAAATTAAAAACGCATCTACCATGTTCTCGCTCTGAGTAACGACATGGTACACAGACAGGAATTCCCGAAAATTCACTCCCAGGGTGTATATCCGACTCCAAAATTCCCACCAACTCTTTTCGCTTATAGCAAAATTAACCTGTGCAAATCCGAGGGATCCCCCTCAAAAGCTTGCCCCTAAAACAACAGAGGTGTGAGAAGCCTGCCCTTAAACCCTGTGCCCAGAGCCCGTTTTCCCAGCGGCACCCCAGCTCTCCAGAAACCTTGTTCCCCAATCCCGACACCACCTCCCACCCGGCGCCCGGTGGCCGCAGCTGAACAGAGCATGCTCTATTGGAGGAGAGGAAGCAGTGAGAAAGGCTGTACACTGTACCTGACCAACTGGTTGTAGATAAACAGCTGGAATTTGGGATGGAGGTTGGGGAAACAGACACTGAGAGAGGCCCAGTGGTGAGACGTAAAGACAGAGAAGAAGTAGTGGACAGGAGAGCAGTGTCTACAAAAAATAAGGAGGAAGATTTGGTTGTTTTTTTTACAGAGGAGTTTCATTTTGAAATTCAGAAAAGAAATAGAGAGGTGGGGGGGGAGAGAGAGAGAGAGAGAGAGAGAGAGACAGAGAGTGAGTGAATAAGCATGTGTTTATTGCATTTAATGTTAATGATTAAAATAGAGATTTCTGTGCGGCTTCTTCATAATGACCCGGGTCCTGCTTCAGACAACTCTTTAAACCAGGCTCTCCTCCCTTCAAAAATGAGGTTTGATAAAGGAACCTTCAGAAGAGGTATCCACTTGTTTAAAGAACAGCGTACTAATATTGACAAATGTTTTGCAATACATCATGGAAGGCTTTTAATTCCAGATGGAAGTGGCACGTGTGCACACTCATGTGACTGATAACCACTAATCCCAAAAGGGAAAGCAGGATTTTTTCCAATTTTATGCCCCGATGGACTTCACTATTCCTAAATTAAATTTACTAGAATAAAGAATTAGGGATTTAAGAGCTAAAGGCAAATATTTTAATTTGTTAATTTTGTTAATGTATTGACTTATCACTAAAAACAGCTTAAGTCTAGCCCACATTCAAGTAACTAATGGCTTAACTGAAAGTGGACCTGAATCATCATGTAATAAAAATAGTTGTAACAATTAAAATAAAAAATGTTAGGAAAACAAAAAAAACATTTCAGAAATATTGTTCATGCTCCATTTAGAGTGTTAGTTGAAGAAAAATCTATAAGGAAAAATATGAGCAGAAGTTAATAGATGAGTTACATACTTATGTATTGAAATGTTAGGTTTAAAAAATACTTTCCCTTGAGGTTAGGATAGCGACAGTTTGGTTACAATAGCAACAGGACAGTAAACTGGCATAGAGCATGCTCATATTCACAGGCACACCACAGACAGAAAGGGAACAGGAGGGTTAAGCAGGTGTCCTGCACTATAATCTGTATCCTATCATTTATAAGTCCCCACAATACATGCGCTACCACAAAACTAGGGTCAGGAGAACATAATTGTCTCGCCAATACTGCAATCACATACTGTAGGAAGAACACTCATTTTAAAAGTCAATGGTGAGAGTTAAAAGTACAACATGAGCACTTTGTAGCTAATGAAATGTTTTTACTTAAAAGGAAAACAAAACAACCTTCCTCTTAAGTCATTCCTTTCGCAGTCATGTATTCATGCTATGCATTGCAATTCATCTCTAGAGCACGTCTGCGTTAGAGTATAAGAATAAAACTGTAAAATGCATGCCTGTGTAATGACAGGCAAAACTCTCCATTAATAACTATACAATTAATTTAAGCCTCCAAATATCTATTCTTTTCATAAGTAGAGTTTTTTTTTATCAGGAAATCATATTTCCCTACAACCTCTGCAGTGGTCCTGCAACACACATCACCTTCAGCTTCTTATCAACCTTTTCACATTGGTCACAGACCCGACGAGGACTTTACTGACAGGGTTGAGCGTCGGTCGTGGTCACAGTGTTAACCAGTGGTACGCGAGCCATGGATCCTCAAGTCACCTCAACTGCCCACAGGGGGTTAGTCCCAGATAAGGTATAGCTAGAGCTTTGACATTCATTAATATATTTGCTGTACTTTTATCATGTGTTGAGCAAAAAAAACACTTAGCAATGACTACTACCCCTGCACCTGAGAGGGAACCACACTTGCCATTTTGAGTGTCTATCCACCCAATGGTCCTTTCTCCGAAGGCCAATCCAAAGCAGAACACTATCAATAACAAGTTCTTCCAAATTATACTTAGTAGGGAGAATGATAAAAAAGCAGCTACAAGACAATGCCATATGAACCAGTAGGCTCACGGCCTGAGAAGTACACATGGGTGTAGCTCCAGAAAGCATCAACAACATAAACACTCTTCTCAAATACAGGAAGTGCTTTTTTCAGTACGTCTGAAATTCAGTTTTGGTTTTAAAATTCACAATAACCCAAATGTTCAACTTAGAAATGTACTTTCAACAGTGCCTTTGTTGCACAAGGTACAGTATGTAGTTCACTAATGATTCAGCACAGAACTGCAAATCGGTAACCTCTGAAAACCATCTGAGGTAAATAGGTACAAATCTACCACAAAAGGAGGAAAAACGTCCAAATGAAAGATTCCTTTAAATACAGCATGAATAATGTTGGCAGAATAGCTTAAATGAGAAAGTTGTGGAGGAAAGATTTCAAGTGTAAAGGGTGAAGTACAGGAGTACACCCAGGATGAAAGTACTAAACAGAGGTTTAATAGCTCAACAGTGTAATTTCAATTTTCAATGTAAACGTATGAAGTGAAGTTCAAGAGAACTGTTAGAAAAATGTCATTACTTTTCATCCATGTGGCTGCGCATCTTCTTGAGCTTCTGCATGATGCTGCTGGTCTCGCTGCCGGAGACGGAGAGGGGTGAGGGGCTGCGCGTTTCTAGGTCCGTCTGGGCAGGGCTGGGCTTCAGCTCTTCTTCCAGAGTGTCCGAATTGGCCGCCTCCTGGACAAGCAGTACTAGTTAAAGGCATGGTTCAAAACCGCAGCAAAACGGACACAATGAACAAGGCAGCGTTTCTCTCAGGCAGCACCGCTAGCAAGTACCTGTTCTTAAAAATACTGCAACTGTGCCACTCCTGTTACACAAATGGCCTATAGGAATCATATTTATGTATGCCAAATTTGTCTAAAAATACAAGCTGATTTAATTAGATAGGTAGCTGCACTGGATAACAGAAAGGCATATATACAGATATTAAAAACAGAATAACAGAATTGTCCAAAGAAGTAGTTACCACTTCACTCTGACTTAATTAATTTCACGTAGTAGTTTATTTAATAAAATTGTCATAATATTGTCTCCCGTGTAGACCGATATAAAAATATATCCACCTTGTAGAAGGATTTATGTATTGGTAGCAGGACAAGAAGAGCAAGTGAGTGGGAGTTGCTATGCACTGACCACATTTATGTCCCCTGCTGACTTCAGCTTCTCCTGCAGTTTCATGGTGGTGTGACGCATTCTTGCGATCTCCTCCTGCTGCTTGAGGAGCAGCTGCCTCTCCCTCCGGGCAGCCTTGTTGGCCTCCTGAAGTCGCTTGATCTCCGCCTGTACCAGAGAGATGCCAGAGCTGCTGTAACTGAGCAGAAACCATGCTACCACTCCAGAACAATAGGGCGGGTTTCACCATAGGCACTGGAATAAAACCATAACTGTCCATCTGGCTGATCATCCGTTCTTAAAAACAATTCACAGTTAAACACTGCCAGCTTTATCATTAGTAACTGAAGTGAACTGCACTTCTGGATCTACACAAAGGTCTTGAGTTCATAAAGGTTCAAGGAACAGCTTTGCTGCTTAAATCACCTGCTTAATAACTCTCAGGTTATATCAGATTGCTTCTTAAGACACACTATCTTTCTGAATCAGTACAGCACGTGCTGATAAAAAGACATTTCCATACATGCTCCAGAGCTCTCTTGATGGCACTGTGGTCTGCTTTTACCTGCTCTTGCTGGAGTTTCAGCAGCAGCCCTCGCTGCCTCTTACGTATGGGTGGCATTTTGTCATCCTCCCCTTTGTCCCTCAGCCGCCTGGGAGTCAAATCAAAGAGCCCTGTTACAAATGTGCTTCGAGAGCATTTCAAAGAAACCACAAGCTTTAAAACGCACGAAAATCCTTCTCCTTCTAAAGAGGCCTATGCGTTTCAAACAAGGGCTTCAAAAGTTTTAACTTCCCACAGAAGGAAATAAAGGAAAATGTCCAAAAACAAACAGCGGAAAACTGGAAGTTTTTGCCATCGTTATAATGTGCATGTATGTGTGTGAGGGCGGAGGGAAAAACATGAGGCTGAGTAAATCATTTTGCTTACAAATCCTTTCAATTTTGTAACTGGTTTAATTTAATTCATTTATGCATGCAAACAGTCCTTTCATTTTTGTCTGTCCTTATATTCCTTCTAATTTACCACTTGTCATTAGCCTGATGAGCTTGGCGAGTGTGTTTTATTACTATGAAATGAAACATCGTTTCTTTGGGGAGACTTGGGGCACTTCTTGCCTCTTCTGGTGCTCCAGCCAGGCCAGCTCGGCCTTGGTCTTCTCTTTGAGGGCCTTCTCGCGGAGCCGCAGCAGAGAGGACTGGTGCTGGGCCCGGACCTCCTCCTCCTTCATGTACTGACGCACCATGTCCATGGTGAACTTGGAGAAGCTATCCTGACCGCTGGAGAACGGCATTCGTCCCTCCTGCGGCGGGGAAAAATACACCAAAAATAAAACCTGCAGCATTCCGCCATAACGAATTGCAGCTATGAGTGAAATAAAGACTCTAAAGTGTTAAAGGCCTTGCCTCACACGTTTTAGTTTTTTTATAAAAGATTACTTTTATAATGGGGATTAATTAGAACACAATGATGTTAGCTCAAGACTCCCAGAACTATTAATAACTGAAAAATTCAGACCAAGCAGTGGAAGATCTCATGGATTCAGTCAGTCACAGGGATCGTTCCAATGTTTCCAGTGTTTTAAGCAATCATAACAATACCGAGGTTTTATTAGTGACAGGGAGGGACAAGTAGTAATTGGAGGAGGACCAAATCCCCACAGATCTAAACACTCAGTAAAAAAATAACCAGACTTATGATGTTTCCTAAATTACAGTGGCAGTACTGCATACAGCTCTTTTCTAATTAGTCTGAGCCAGATACATAAACGATTTTATAAAACACATGACCAATGTTACAAACATAAGACAGATACTGCTATCATTATTAACTGCAATCTCGTCATGCTTCTATATAAATAATGCATATTAAAGATAATACTGCAACTATGTACTGGAATAAAATTTAGAAATATCAAAACTGCAAATCCATTAACCATAATCCAAAAAAGAGAGATAAAAGTGAAGCAAATATCACTCTACAAATTACAAGAAACCTCATTACATATTTCAAAGAAAAAAAAAATGTCATTTCAGCTGAATGCCTCTGGTTTTAAAGATAAATTCAAGGGTAATTGAATTTATAAAGGGAGTGTTGCACCATATTTCTTTTCTATAATTTTTTAACGGCACATCAGTGGAATACAATCTTGTATTTCACTCTTAATAAGGATATATTACAGGAACCATTTAAATACAAAATGCACAACTGTCAAAGGACTCATCAGATGTTGCACAGGTTTAAATTAAAAACAATGTCACTCTAAACGTGAAATCTATCAGTTGGTTAACTGCTGTTACAAAACAACACTGACTGAACTGAGAACTATAGATTTCACCTCTAGATTAAACATGAACAGAAATTTATCTATAGAAAAATATTATTAAAATAAACGGATTCATCAAAAACTATTCAGTTGCTTTCTTAGAACAATAGTGGGATGGATGACATTATTAAAAATATATTACTATATATTGTAACCCATATAAACTAGTAAATTAAAAACATAAGAATGGTAACAAACAGAGTATTATCATTCGGTCCTTATGTCTCCTTTTTAGCAGCAATTTGAGAAAAGGACCTAATCAAGCTGTTTGATGATGGAAGGCAGGGCATCAGCTTTAATAAGATAGCCAGGCATCTTCTTTAACCAAAGAAAATGTCAATGTGATGCAGTGGTTAAGGCAAAAAATTTTACCCAAGGGTTCCCAGGTTAAGCCAAAAGTCACCAAGTCACAGTGTTAAGCTGGGCAAATAATGTGTGTCATACCTTAACTGAGACATAATGATGGGTTTCTACTTTAGTGACTCAGTATTAACAATTAGTTAACGAGGGAAAATCTAAGCATCAAATCATCTTAAAGATGTTTCATTAAGAATTTGTTGTGTAAAAAGCAGTTTATTTAAGCCAGAAATGTAATCTACCTTAATAACCCTCAACTTCATAGGCCACTAAAGCAGGGCCACAATTACATTTAACTGTACATTTAATGTTAAGGTCTCTGCATTTCTAATGGGTTTTCCCCTCTCTTGGCAAAAGCTGTTTTTTGTTAGATGTGCTGCAATGGTTTCAGGCTTCTCTAAGGAGCCATTAAATCTGAGCACACAGCACTTTTATTATAGAAAAGGATTTAGTATGTTCAGCAGAACTTTGCACTTCGCTTGCCAACACCAACTCCACAATCACAAGGGATAAAGCATTGTTTATATGTTAGGGGAAGTGATGAAGTATGTGTGAATTTTTTCCATATTTCCTCTAAAGGGTTTTAATTAAAACAGGCATTCAAGAATCCTATTTCTCAAAAGCCTAATAGTTGATCAATTATCTGTATCCCGCAACTAGGGAAGGACTACATACAGTATAGACATCAGGAGCTGCAGTACGAAGATAGTGACTGGCTTAGAACTGCAAATTCAGGTTTCACAGGTTTTAGCAAGTTAACAATCAGTAACACAATACAGCAAAGCCAAATAGTAGTATAGAACAAAGTCAAAGTCATAGAAGATAAAGATCAAAATAATCGTAGGATAAAATGATTAAGCTAAAGCCACTCAATACAGCCTAGCCATCCATCTTCTAACCCCATACAGGTCACGGGAGTGCCAGAGTCTATCTTTGCAAGCAATAGGTGCAAAACATGATCCTAGACAGGATTCCAGCCCATTCACAGGGCACTGCAGCCTATCATATCGAAAGATGATTTTAACAACTGTAGCCGATCACCGTTTAGAATTTCTAAAACATTGAACGCATAACTTCGGTTCCTTTGCCAACACAGTAGTGAAAGGGGATAAAAATAACAAAAGCATAACTTGGCACTGAACTAGGACAGGGTGAGCTGCAGCTAGTATTGTTCTTGCAAACAAGGACACACTGAGATCTCCAAAAAGGAGTTACTGACAGCGTAAAGTGTGGCTTTGTCCTGGGAGGGCTCGTCATCCGAGTCTTCATGAGGGTCACGCTTCTTCTCAAGGGTGAACCGGCGGTGGGACTCGGACGGCAGGAGGGATCGGAAGGATTTCTCCTCGATCTCATCTTCCGTCATTGACTCGTCGAACTTCAGAGAGTACTCGGTGGCAACAGAGATGGTATCTGCAAAAAAAAAAAGATTCCCATAGGAACCTACTGAGAAAGTCCTGGACTGATAGTTGACCGTTACCAACACACAGAAGAGTATTTCAAAGTCCTGTTGTCCCCCAACGGAACTGCCTGGCCAAAATAAAAATTCAAAGTAGCCTAGTACTGCATTTGATCATGATAAACGAGCACTTCAGCGCCTCGGATTTCACCCAACATTTTTTCTTCTCATCAAAAATTGAGCTCATACATACATAATATACTTGTGTATCACAATTACAACTGAGAAACATGTTAATCCAGGTTTGATTCCCTGCTTACAAAGGTCTAGGCTGTTTGATGATTTTACCAAGCAGTTTTAATTACGAAGAGAAACCCTAATTTCACAATCATTCTCCGAAGTAGCTGAAGTAAATGAGCAACGGTGGAGGAGCCTGAAAATCCGGAGCTCTAAACACAAACCACATCATTATACAGATTGGCAAGATCCCACCAGGAAGAGCCCACGGAGACTAAAAGCAAAGGCAAAGCTCTCACCTTTCTCATCAGGCAAGGAGGGAACACTATCACTGTGAACTGAATCATCAGCTGCTGCTTGGATCTCCTCTTCCACAGAGCTGCCCCTCTCATCCTTTACAGGTGATGCCTTCTCTTTCCTCTCCATAGAAGGCACAGACAAGCTCGCTGGTTGACTGCTGCTGTTACTGTAAAGGGACAACCAAAAACCACCTGTGAGTTCCATAAACCGCACACTGGATGCCACCACTGCTGCAGGAAGTGAATGCAGGGCATGGCTTTAAGATACATTTTGAAAGCAGTAGATGCCAGCTAACAATAAAAAGAGAACAAAGGGCATCAAATCATACAAAAATATCCTGTAGCTTCCAGGTGCATTTTATGATTTAAGGTGAAAAGTAATCCCTTAAGGAAAAGACCTCACCTGGGGGTCTTAGAGTGAGAGGACTCTGAATAGCTGTCCAATGATGAATGATGCTCCTCTGTCTTCATTCTCAAAGGAGACCCATCACTGTTGCTGCTAGAGGAGGTGAAAGGGGGAAGGGATGGGTACACAACGCCAATTAATGCCTTACACAAGTACTAATTAATAGACGTTCAAAGCACGGCACTAATTAACCCACCCAGGCCAGTCTGAAGACTCAGACCTCCTCCCCCACAGAGAAGTAAGAAGTAGCCATTCACCTCTTTACTAATGAGAAGCTGCCATTATGTATTTGTTAAGCCATATCCCCCTAAGAAGCAAACCATTTGAAATCGTCCCGGAAAGGTACATTTTAGAGAAGCCTTAATATTCACGTCTGGGAGCTGGGAGGAAACAGGAACATGCAAACGCTGGCAGCAAAAGCCAACTCCACACAAAGCCAGCACCAGATATAATTCAATGCAGGACCTGGAGGTGTGAGGCTGTGGTGTTAAGTATAATGCCACCAAAAACCTGGGAAAACTGTCATTTAAACCAGTTGTGTAATTAGAAAAGGCCTATAATTAATCCCATAAGTGACTACTGCCACACTAAGTGCATAACCCAAAGTCACTAGATGTTCTGTTTTCATGTTACCTGTCCAGGTCACTGAGGGAGCGAAGCTGCTTCATGAAGCTCGAGTGGTGTTGACGCTGCTGGTCGTACAGGGCTGTGATGGGGGCAGCGGGCACACTCATTGCACTGGCAATCTGAGAGCGTGCCAGCTCTGTCATCTGGGGAAGAAAGACCAACAAGAGAATCCTCACTCCTGACTCAATCGTTAAACTTATCTACAGGAATACATGGACTAAGCTCTCAACACTTTGGGCTCACAAACTGGATTCACGGAAATGCTATAATTTATAAAGCCCATATTTGGGGAAAAACAGCTACAGTTGAAGGGCTTTGAAAACACCTTACAAATAACAGCTTACACCCAACAACAGGACTATCTATGTAACATATACTACAGACCTAACGATGTATAAAACAAACTGTGAAGTGTTACTAAATTAATTAAAGATTAAATAAAACTTTCTATGGAAGTACATTTATGTATAGAACCCCCATTCTATCTTTGAATTTTTCTATCTTTGAACCCATTTTTCTACCATTTTAGAAAAGCAAAGGCAGTGTTTTTGTACCTCCTTGATGTGCCAAGCAGCATCTGCAGTGTAACGCACGGCCTCAGCCTGCTGGGCGATCATCCTGCTGGTGGCATCCTGAAGGCCTCCCAGTGCCTCCTGCTGAGACTGAGCCAGCATCTGCTGGGACTCCGCGTGAGCCTGGCAAATTCCAAATACAGGAGCAATATCTTGAGGACGCAAATCAATACACAGCTCCGCCTTTCCAAGATAGCTCACGGCAGTGGCCACAAACATGAACGTGACCACAGGGCCTCAGTCATGGCCTGCCTCGTCTTTGAAATGCTGCAGCGCGTGCTTTTAAAGAGCCACTCAACAATATAGTGAGTGCAGAAAAATGTAAATACACAGCAATAGAAGTATCACTCAAACTAATCACTAAAGCAGAAAATGCATAACGTTACATGTCAACGCGTTTTATAGACTCGGAACACACCGGCCCTGCTTATCTGAAGCAAAGAGAACACGCACCTTCAGACCCAGGTTTGGATCCAGGGAAATGTATTATTATAATTATTATGGCCGCCTGCAGCCTATGCCCCCTCCGTATACCTGTGCGGCCTTCTGCCTGGTCTCCTCCAGCTGCCGCTGACTGTCAAGAGCTTCCTGCTCGGCTTTCAACTTCAGCAGATACAGGTCGCGCTCGTGCCTCTGCTGCTGGGCCTGGGAGTTCACAAGGTCAAGGCATTAGCTACTGCTCTGGCGGGTCAAGATGAGCCTTCTCAGTAACCAGCCCAACCCTATAGGGTTATTCGCCTGCTGCTCACCTTGAGGATCTGGGCCAGAGAGACGCTCTCCTGCTGTGCCAGGGAGATTCCCCGCACGCGTTCCACGTCCGAGAGCTGCCGTACAGACTCTTCCATGGCATCGAGGTAGCTCAGCTCTGCTGTCATGCGCTGCTGGAGCGCACTGGGCGAGAACTGCAGAGAGCCTGTAAAGAGAGAGCCCAGAGAGTTGAACGACGCACACCATAATCAAACAAAATTCAGAACAAAAATTCTCAACATAAACCCCAACTTGAACATAATATTCTTTCTTTCGAAAGGTTTTATCCTGCTATTATAACATATATACGCAGTAATAAAGGAACAGCTTAATAATTGTATTAATCGACTGCTTTTCATTTGTATCTCTAGATGGTATGTGCTAAATGGATGGAGAAAGACAACAATTATAAAGAACCAATGGCTTATTTTCAAGTCACAAACAAAGTTAGTGGAAATCAGTCAGGTGATCCTGGCAGGTCCTAGGGAGGCTATGATATGCCACCTTCTATGATCTCTACCTATCACCTAAATACTTCTATATTATTTAAGCTTAAATACACATTTTGTATTAACTACATATTATTATAAACTATTAATGAATATGGACAATAAATGCAGAAAAACAGATGCCCAGAAATCGTTTTTACTGTTTTTTATATTTTGTATAACAATGTAAAATAGGTAACTTTCACGCACTGTTTCTTTTTACACGACTGAAATTGTTCTGACTTGGATAAAGAAGCCACCTAAGAGATCTAACTAATTACACAATGTTTATTAACTTACCACACTTTCCGCACGTTGACATACCAGATCTTTCCTACTATATTCAAACTTTTCTTCTATAACTTTAAGGAGTATGTAACACTACCATACAGTTTCAAAATAGATCAAATAATAACAGTGAAAGCTATGTTTCTCAAAACATTGCCATATCCATGGTAACAACATACACAGAATATCAAGAGGTGATGTCACAATGCAACATTCCACGTGATGTCATAAAGCTACAACCTTATATGGAAACTATTAGGAGAATGTGGTCAAATCCAACTTCTAGTGTAATAGGCCTAAAAACCCAAAATATATTTAAATGGGTGACTGAAAACCACTTTCAAGTTAAGAAACTTTTTGTAACATCTTAAGCAATATTATCTGTGAGAACACATGTAATTTTTTAAAAAGTCTGCCAAGGATTCAGCATTACTCCAGCGTTAGCACATATTCAAAACTGATATATTCATATTCAAAACATATAAATCAGCATAGAAAGACACAAGAAATACACAATATAAAAGAAATGCTACACTAATTACACACATGAACAAGTGCAATTTTACAGATACTAGAAGAACTCATCTAAAAATATAAGCAGGCCTTGATTTTGGGGCATATTTAATTTACTAGGTAATTCTTCCTGGTTTTACAATTTTAATGCCTAGTTAACACGACTGAAAAATACTAGTCATTGTGTAAAAAAAAACCAAAACGAGTGTTTAGATGAATTCTAGTACACATTTTGCACTGCAACTTTCTTCCAAATGCTCCAAGTCAAACTTTTCAATCTTTCTTTTCCATCCATACAGCTGGATCTTTTGAATCCAGACATTTGTCTGGCACAAGCCTGCGGTCACAGCATGGAGACGCTCTCGAAACGGACACACCCACAAGCTCTTGCTTTGTACCTGCAGCACTGGGCTCCGTGTCAGTGCCGACACTGATCTCTGTGAAAGCGCTGGCAGCAGCAGTGGGCTTGAATCTCACGGACGATGAAGGCAGAGAATTCGGGACAGGAGGGGCAGTCTTCATCCGGTCAGCCCCGACTGAGGATGCTTCAGCTGGTGGGGTCTTCTGAGCAGCAGAAATTGTGGGAGAACCCGAGGGAGATGAGGCAGGATATCTAGGGGATCTCTTACCATCGGCTCCCAGGCTGAAAAACAGCGAGAAGAAATTCAGGAAGAGTGGACCGGGAAAAACACAGTAAACACTGGTGGTTTATAATCCAGAGGCCCGAAAAATTGATCTACCACTCTGCTGATCAAAATTCTTCATTAAGAACTTCTATAAAAACGTCCAGTATTTGCAGTGTGCTACACGACCACAGGAAGGAGGTCATAGGAAGCCACTCTTTTAATTTATTAGTTCCCTTCTCTCACCAATAGAAAAAGTCGACGTATTTTTTTTGGAGAAGTTGAAAAATAACATGACAAAAAGGGTAGATCTGCAACTGGATTAAAGAGATTTTTGATCACGCTGAACAGTTTTAGCGTATACAATAATCAGTAAAACTTAAAGTATACAAAAATCTCATTGTCAGATGGAAAATCATTTCTAAAAATAACCTGTTACTGTTATTTTATTTACTTTGGGTAAATGACATTGTGTTCGATCCTTGTTACAATATAACAAATATTGTAACTGTAAATTGATTTTACAGTTTACTGGTAGAAAAAAAACGTTTTGAAAGGTCCAGCTGAAGTGCATGCGAGAGGATTCCACTGAGGAATTCCACTGTCATACAACTACTGTAGCATCCCCCTCTGGTAATACTTCAGATTTACACATTTTTCAGTTTCATTTCATCCCTTTGAAGTGTACTCTCATTTTAAAGCAGGAAAAGGCAGCTGTGAAAACACTACTTGGCAAGAACATAACGGATGCCCAGCATGTTTCTTATGAAGTGACTGAAGTTAATCCAAAACCAGCCGATTACTGAAAAATGATAAAAACTCCATAATTTATTAATCAGAATTAATACAGAAACTTAAAACACTCTAGACGACTACAGAAGACTTCACGCAAGGAAAATACATTCACATATCAGAAATATGGAGAAACACATAGAAAGATGATAATGTTTGATAGAATCTTTGAAAAAAATGTCTCGATATATTTAGTTCACTCATTACACATTGACTTTTGCAGATCTGCTTTCCAGAAGTAATGGTTGTGTTTAAAACAACCTTGGTTGAATGGTGTTGGAAAGACAGAGAGAAATCTACACACAAGCTTTAGTTTTCTCCTGGAACCGAAAGCAAAAGGTTCGATTGTGACAAAAATCTCCAACTGGCTGAGCGCCAAGGTTGTGCCAGTAGGGATCAGACCACCACCCTTCTGAACAAAGGGCCCAGTGTCTGCCCACAGCCACCCCCCGCTATGCCGGACACAGACCCTCTGACCAGACAGATCTGTGGTTACAGTAATATTTTAACTGGCAGCTTTTGAAACGGCTCACGATGACTTTAATTACTTGTATTATGTTTTGTGTGTTTTGTTTTTATCCAGATACCACTCTTGCAATGTAAGCAGCTCTTGATTTATTTATGTCTGCTTTTGTTTTGAGAGAGCAGATTCATAACGACCAGTTGCAATATCACAAACGCATACTAAAGAGCATAGCTCTTTGAAACCATAAATGAAAAATACTTGGTACACTAACTTTTAATAAGTAGTTGTAAAACATGCAATCATATGACAAAAAAGTCAGTACTGGCATATGAAGTCTATGGTATTCTATTCAAAATTCACTAATGGAACAGCCCTTTAACTCAAATTAAAGCCGCAATTTGGCAGTTTTAGTGTATTCCAGTATTGTGACTCTCATCACTCTGTTATTATTGACGTCTGTTGGCAAGACATGCAGGGCTGCTCTAAATGTGTTATGGGATATAAATGGGAAAAGGATCTTTAACCAATGAAATTTAAGGTTAAATGACTGATGAAACTGAAAGATTACATATTTCTAAGATTCATATATCAGCATGTAAGTTTTAATTTAAAATGATCAATCCACAGAAAAGACCATCAACTACAATAGATATCAAGAAAGAGGGCTATCTTTTCTGACCCATAACTGATTTTTTCGGACAGAACTCCATGTAGTAAGCTCAGGTGATCTGTTGCTACTAAACCCAGAGAGGCCAAGTGTGCGAGCCCAGCCATGTGTCACCTGTCCTCTGCACATCCGTTTGTTTCGGGGCTCAGCTCTGTGTTCCGAGGAGACATCTTTCCTGGGGATGCCCTCCTGTCCTGGCACACTGGCTCTGAGCCCTGCGAGGAAGGACTGTTATCTTCATCCAACAGGGTTTGTCGAGGAGTGCTCTCCTCCGTCACGTCGCCACCTGCCAGAACAGATTTAGTTAATCCAGTGATTTTGCAGTGCAACTCCTTTCATCTTTCTACTCTGAAACAGCACAAACATGACATTCTTCCCTTTAAGCAAGCAATACAAAGCTTGTAACTTAGTAGACAAACAAGTTTATTAATAAATTCATGCCATTTGAATTTACACAAAATGCAGAAATATAACATTCTAAGCCCAAAAGAAAGAAAGAATTCAACACATTCTAACTACATTTTAATTCTTCCCTTAAATAAACTGACAAAACTTAATGCAATAGATAATTCCGGATTTTAAGTAGGGATAGTCTATCAACCACATATATGCACAATTTGAGACAACTGAGATTAGATGACATGTTATTAGTTAATTTGTTTTAATATTTCTCACCTCTCTTGCGACTGGAACTTGATGACTGTGGGGATGATGTCAGAGTGGACACGGATGAATGATGGGATATGTGTTCAGGTGCCTGAGAGTCACAGGGTGACTGATGACTGGGAAATTCCTCCTGAGGACTGCTAGCACTGCTTCCATTGCTGTTGATACAAAGCATGCATTTTATTATCAACAGTAAGCAGGGAATAAACAAGGTTTATATGATCTCAGTATTAAGTCCCATTACTAGATGGCCTGACTTTCATAGGCTGCTGCTACCCCATTATTTAACTGGCAGGTCTATCCAAAGTAACTTAAAGGATTACATACAATGATATACAGTACACTGCAATAAGATACAATTCCTAAAACAAATGTCACCTATTAATACCATGTTATTCAATAACATATTCAACAGATTAAGATATAAATTCAAATATAAGTGATTAAAGCTTATTGACATTACTTAACTGCAACGGTTAACGATCTAGTTGAAATGAAAAGTTCATAAAACAGTTCCCATTGCTCTTGTCTGGACAGGACACAAGAACCTACACTGTGGATAGCTAAAATATATAATTTGATGTGATAAAAAGTCAGAATTCCATTTTAATGGAGAACCAGATATTTAAAGCCTAAAATCGACTTTTAAATGAGACAGGTGGGTAGCTG